TTGAAGGAAAAAGTCATACGACGTGACCAACTGAAAGCAATTCAAGAGACCATAGCAAGATTTCTTAATGACCAGGTCTTAAACCCTGCCGACAAGTTCTACAATGACATAAACGAAACATGTAAGCCAAACCAGATGAAATGAATTTGTTATCCCAAGGATATGATAGAATATACAATGCAAGCTTTATTTGTATATATATATATGTACATATTATATGTACATAAAATAACGTACAATATATGTATATACATGTAATATATACGTTAGTTTCATACTTTAGTTTGTACAAAATGTTCGAACATTATAAGCGTGTAGAATACGTATATTATTAGCAGCGTAGAATGCGTATTCGAAAACCAAAACGAATCATCAATTGAAAATAGAAACAAAAAAAAAACATTTAGTCCCGGTTGGTAATATCAACCTGGACTAAAAGGCCGCCCACGTGGCTAGGCCGGGAAGCCTACCTTTAGTCCCGGGCGAGAAATCGAGACTAAAGGAGGGGCTCTTTAGTCTCGGATTCATGCTCCCGGTTAAGAAACCGAGACTGAAGGAGTTTCCTAACCGGGAGTACAGATTGTTTATGTACTTAGTGCGCGTTACCCCATGCTCATGGTATATATCGGCCTGGGGCCCGAAGTGCGCTGTCATTTTGTTTCAAAAAAAGTTTTTCGTGTATGCGGTGCATGCACCAAGCAGAAACCGACAACATTTCACACAAAAAACTTGGCCACGTCGGCTTTTGTTTACAGTTAGGAACCACGTCAACTTGTGTCCGTTGTGAAGTCGATATATTCTGGCTCTCTTGTCCTATTTGCCCGTTTTCATTGGGCTGCTACTTGCACGTGCAACTTGCGACCGTTGAGATGTCGAGATATTCTGGCTCTTGCCCTATTTGCCCGCTTCATTTGGGCTACTTGCACGTGCACTCATGCTAGCCTTACTTCTAGCAAGGACCTTTGTCGTGGGGTGCAACTTCCCCAGCACCAGGTGCTTCTATATATATGTAACACGATACACTTCGTATATCATACACATTCTAGCTACAAGCCCGTACGTACATCAAGAAAAAACCTCGATCCAGCTCCAAGTCTCCAGCAGTCTCCTGCGACTACTCCTGGCTAAGCTTCTTAGTTTTCAAAGATCTTTGGAGATCCCTAGCAGCTAGCTTGCATTGTACATCAGATTCTTACAGGATGGTCGGTCCCATCATCGTGCTCGCGGCATCTGCTGGGGTTGGCGCGGTCGTCGGCGTAGCAGCGGCCGACAGGTGCTCGGGGTGGAGGCCCCCACCGGGCGGCGCCGGCGGCGCGCAGGGGCCGAACTGCTCGACGTGCGGTGGCACAGGGAAGGTTGCGTGCCCCTGCGCCCAGTGGTCGGACGGTGACGTCGGGTGCAGGACATGCGCGGGGTCAGGTCGCACATCATGCCGGAGCTGCCGTGGCTCCGGCACCAGCAGACGCGCCACCGTCCGGGTCGCCGTGCGTGCGCAGAGGACTCTCGTCGCCGTTACGAAAGCCAAATGATGGATCTGAGATGACGAAGATTTTGGGGCAGGATACTGTAAATAGAAATAGGGAAAATTGGTTCCGTAGCACCGAAAGATCACTAAAATCGTAAAATACCATCGAAAGATCGAGCCAACGTAAAATACCACTGAAATGTTGAAACGTTAACTGGAATTAGCAGTCCGTCAGCATTTGTCCACCGAAAATGCATTTTGATGTCTTTGATGGGTAAAACGGCACGCGAAATGTCCATTATACCTTCTGCCTTATCCTATCCACACCATAGGCTCCGAATGGAGACGGCACACACACCACATGCGGCCTGCGCCTGGCGCTCCGCCCGGCTGCTCCTCCGCTCCACCCGCCCCTGCGGCCCCTGCACCGCCGCTCCACCCGCCTGTGCCGCCGCTCTGCCTCACCTGCTTGGCGAGGGACGGCCACGGCAACACCCGCGAGGGGTCCGCCCGCCCACCTAGAGGTCGTCAACCCCACGACGGCGGCCATCTGCACACTCGGCGGCCAGGGCGTGGGAGTGGGACGCCGGCCGACCGTTGTGCAAGGGGCGCGTGTCTCCCAAGCTACATCTTGGTCTTCCCGCATGTTGTTCTTCGTCAACGTCGTAACGCAGATCACACAGTCTATTACGGCTTGACCGGCAAAACAAACACCCTATCTTATACCTTTGCCTTGAGATCATAGGGTTTTATTTTTCTCTTTCTTCTTTTCTAAGAATTGAGTACTTGATCACGATTTGGCCATCACCATCATCTCTAAGTGTGTCTTCCTTGCTCAATCTTGGTGTCGACTTAACCTATGTCATACACAACACTAGATTAAAGGTTAGTCCCACAAGTTGTCTCAATTATCAAAATCAAGCATAGGGCTTTTAGCGGGCAGACATGTAGTGAGAAAAAATGAGTTGGATGATGGCTGGGCATGGACAACCAAAGAGGCTCTGCAGCTAGCCTGGTTGTGTCGGCGTGGCCAACCAAACAAAAGGCTGCTGCATCTGCAAGGCCTGTTCAAGCGCCGAACTGCATGCTGGTGCGAGCCAGGCTACGATGATACGAAAACCAATCACGCCCATAGCATCTGGAAAATGTAACCTTCCTCTAGTCGTCCCTTTCCATTGCGCTGCTAGCTACCCTTTCCCTTTCAGGATTCAGGGTGTCTTATCTTATATGCCTATTCATGTATAGGCACCGCTGTAAAAGATTTGGCTGAATTTGTTTTGTTTGAATCGATTTGATTTAGTGCTGCATTGTTGGTACAAACCGTTTTTAGTCAATCCTTTAGGCCGTAACTTTGTAAGCTATGGGACTAGTGTTAATTCATAGTTTTTTTATGTTAATTTAAGTTCATTGAAAATATTTATGTGAATTATATGCCTATATGACCATACGAGTTATGCCAGTGGTTCGTGCTCGTGCCATCATTTATTCTCGCTCAAAAATTATGTGGTTGCCTAGTACTTGTTATCCAATATTGATGTTATATGGAACTTCATATTGAGGTTGGACAAAGTCTAGTGAAATAATAAAAATACTAGTGTCTTTGTTCAGTTATTTATTTATCTAGCTTTGCCCTTTGGTCAATTCAGTCAAAGTTGCTAGCACTCATAAGAGCAGTTTGAATTGACCTGCTTAGTGCAATTGGAGATCAGCAGTACTTTTTCAGTAGCACTCGTTTGATTCTCCTTGCATCTTCAACACAAGACTGAAATTAGAAAACATCTACATGATAAAGCTTTATTATACTAACAATAGGTCCAGTGAAATAATAAAATGGTAGTGTCTCTGTTCATTTATTTACTTATCTGCCTTTGCCCTTTGGTCACGAAGATGATATTTACTGATTCACTCAGAGTTGCTAGCATTCACAAGAGCAGTTTGGATTACCCCGCTCAGTGCAATTGGAGATCAGCACAAGACTGATTTGAGCACAATATATAGTTGTATGTTTCGTATATAGTTGTATGTTTCGTATCTAGGTTTTAGCTAACAACCACCAATGATAGTATAATATCGTTGTCGCTTTTAACTAACAACCGGTAGTGACAGCCACTTATCATTGTTGGTTGTAGACACAATAGTGATAGCTGAATCTGTAGTAGTTGGTTTTGTATCAAGTTAAAGAGCACATATTTCTTCTTGTGTGTTTACTCGGTGATACGTAATTTTGTTTCAGCTTAAAATAAGGTGATATTTTTTTTGTAAAAAAACTTGGTTATTCCCCTCCCCCCACCCCTCAAAAAAAACATGGCTATATATAAAATCTATTAGAGCCATAGAATTTGCCTAGGTAAATTTGCGGTGAAGATTTTGGCAGTCCACATTTCAGTATAGGATTGGAAACGGGTGCATATAAAGGATATTGACTAGAAGCTATAAGGGCTTGCCGAATATTTGGAATGGCCGAAATGGGTGACAAAGCTAATGCAAACTTGGCTAAGCCATTCCAGGGGGGGACAAAGCACAGGCATGATATTAACAATAGGGAAATTCACTTTGAACTAGTAATTTGCATAGAAACATTAGGTCGGGGGGGGCCTGGGGAAACAAAGCACAGGCATGATATTAACAATAGGGAAATTCACACTTTGAACTAGTAATTTGCATAGAAACATTAGGTCGGGGGGGGGGGGTGAACAAAGCACAGGCATGGTATTAACAATAGGGAAATTCACTTTGAACTAGTAATTTGCATAGAAACATTAGGTCAATCTGTCACCTTATATATTTTGATGATTGTGGACGTCAAAATATATTAATTGTTTGTAGAACCTCTTCTGTATCGCATCGGAGGAAAACGTTGATGCTTAGTTGAAGCACCATATGCTTTCCCATGGATGTTTGTTGTTGTCGTCCTGGTAAGTCTCCGTAGTATCGTAGACTCAGTCTTGCCGTCCTTGGGAACATCTCCCACAATCGGTGGCATCCAAGTGCTCTCTTTGCCACTGCCACACAACAAAATCATCGGCCTCGTAGTCAATTTTATTTGCCACTTCTCCTATGTATTCCAGGTGTCTGAATTTTAATATGATTTTAGTCAACACTCTTATACTATCAATTTGTACAAGTAAATTGTCAGTATTAAGATTTTTTTAATTGTTTTTGTGCTGTAACATATAATTTTTTTTGTCCTTGTCTGATTATAGAAAATATTAAATTGTCTTTGTGCCATACATATTAGATTTTATCATATTTATGGTTTTGTCTAATGGATTTTTTTATTCTCAGAACCAAAAATTGTAGATGGCGTCTACAAAAATTGCAACAAACTAAAACTATAATTTTAGTATAAAATATATGCAATAATCGTAGCCTGAAAGAAAACTAAAATTCAGACACCTGAAATTTAGCAAATATCCTTATATTTGCAAACACGAACGGTGATCGAAAAACCTGCCTACACGCACGTTAATCTTATCTTGTATAAAAGGACGCCATGGATGCACATGCAAACTACATTAGAGCAAAGCCGGCAGCAATGGAAAGCTTCTACTTCAAGCTGTCCTTGCTCGGCATTCTTATTCCTTGTGTTCTCCTTGCTACTTCAATAATTGCCGAGGAGTTGACAACGACCGGCGATGACGAGCTTCGCACGTTCATCGTCCACGTACAGCCGCAGGAGGAGCACGTGCTCGCCACGCCAGACGACCGGACGGCGTGGTACAGGTCGTTCCTCCCGGAGGACGATCGGCTTGTCCACGCCTACCACCACGTCGCCAGCGGCTTTGCCGCCCGGCTCACGCAGCGGGAGCTCGACGTGCTGTCCCGCACGCCAGGCTTCCTCGCGGCGCAGCCGAACGTGGCTTATCAGCTGCTGACGACGCACACGCCTCGGTTCCTCGGGCTGGACGTGCCACAGGAGGGCGTGAGCGCCATAAACCACACTGCTTCTGGGTTTGGGGACGGCGTGATCGACAGCGGTGTCTTTCCTTACCACCCATCGTACAGCGGCGACGGCATGCCGCCGCCGCCGGCAAAGTGGAAGGGGCGCTGCGACTTCAACGGCTCGGCGTGCAACAACAAGCTCATAGGCGCGCGGTCTTTCGAGTCCGACCCCTCACCGCTCGACAACAACGGCCACGGCACGCACACGTCGAGCATCGCGGCGGGGGCGGTCGTTCACGGAGCCCAGGTCCTCGGCCAGGGCCGCGGCACCGCTTCAGGGATAGCTCCCCGCGCTCACGTTGCTATGTACAAGGTGTGCGGTGACGAGTGCACCGAGGCTGACATGCTTGCCGGCATCGACGCGGCTGTGGGCGATGGCTGTGACATCCTCACCATATCCCTCGCCATCAGGGCGGCCATGCCGTACTATCAAAACAGCCTCGCCATTGGCACGTTTGGCGCCGTTGAGAAGGGTGTCTTCGTCAGCATTGGAGCCGGCAACAACGGTCCAAATGCCAGCACGATGTCCAACGACGCGCCGTGGATGCTCACCGTCGCGGCGAGCACCGTGGACCGTTTGATCGGTGCCCAGGTGCGTCTCGGCAACGGCCTCTCGTTTGACGGAGAGTCGGTGTACCAGCCAGAAATCTCGGCGGCCGTCTTCTCCCCGTTGGTCTACGCGGGAGCCAGCTCGATAGCCGACGCGCAGTTCTGCGGCAACGGCTCATTGAACGGCTTCGACGTCAAGGGCAAGATCGTGCTCTGTGACGAAGGCAATGGCGTCCGGAGGGTTGACAAAGGTGCCGAGGTGAAACGAGCAGGAGGCATCGGCATGATCATGACCAATGTGTTCACCGAAGGTTACAACACACTCGCCGACGCCCACGTCCTCCCGGCTTCGCATGTAAGCTACGCTGCAGGAGTCGCCATCAAGAAGTACATCAACTCCACGGCGAACCCGACGGCGCAGATCTTCTTTCGGGGCACGGTTCTCGGCACGTCGCCGGCCCCAGCTATGGCTTTCTTCTCCTCACGCGGGCCCAGCCTCTACAATCCCGGCATTTTGAAACCAGACATCACGGGCCCCGGCGTGAGCATACTTGCAGCATGGCCGTTCCAGGTCGGCCCTCCGTCGTCGTCTCCGCTGAATCCCGGACCGACCTTCAACTTTGCATCTGGGACGTCCATGTCAACTCCGCACCTCGGTGGCGTCGCGGCGCTGATCAAGAGCAAGCACCCGGACTGGTCACCGGCGGCGATCAGGTCTGCTATCGTGACAACCGCCGAAACCCATCGACCGCTCCGGGAACCCGATACTAAACGAGCAACATCTCCCGGGCGACTTCTACTCAACGGGCCTGGTCTACGACATCGCCCCCGCCGACTACGTCGGCTTTCTCTACAGTGTCTACGCGAGCCGAGACGTGGAATTCCACGGCTGGCCCGGTGGTGGTTAGACGCACGGTGAAGAATGTCGGGGAGGCTCCGGCGGTGTACTACCCCACCGTCAGCTTGCCGTCGGGGGTCGTGCAAGTGAACGTCATGCCAAGCTCGCTGCAGTTCACGCAGGCCAACCAGGAGCAGAGCTTCACTCTGTCCGTGTGGTGCGGACAAAGTAGTAAAGCAGAGGTGGTGCAGGGCGCGCTCCTATGGGTATCTGACAAGCACACCGTGAGAAGCCCCCTCTCCATCAACTTTGATAGTTCGTAAAAGAGCTCAGTCAACTTTCACTTGGGGTATAGTTCGTGCAATTTTTTTCTGATTGAGTCACATACAACAGGTTTGTTGAATTGAGAATGTAATACGCTTATTGGTATCATTATAACTACTATTTTCATTCCAAATTGCAAATCGTTCTGGCCTTTATAAATATATAGTTTTTACTATATATATCTAGACATAATATGTATCTAGGTGTGTAGCAAAAGCTCATCCCTTTGTTCCTGAATAAATAAATTTCTAGAGTTGTCTAAGTCAAGTTTTTTAAACTTTAACCAAATTTTTAGAAAAAACCCGTCAAGATTCGTGACATCAAACTAAGTATCGTTGGATATACCATAAATTATATTTCCATAATATACTTATTTTATGGCATAGATGTTGTTACTCTTTCATACAAAGTTAGTCAAACTTAAGATAGTTTGACTTCATACAGGTTCTAGGAATTAATTTATTCGGGATTTTAGAGACGGAGGGAGTATGCACTTAGAAAAGTTAGAACGACTTACAATTTCAAATGGAGAAAATAAAAGAATTTCCATGGGATGCTACGAGATTTAGGTGGTTCATATTAGATGAATAATAAAAACTTGCGTGTTGCATGCAAGGTTGATGTGATAATAACAATTGACGTAAAATCAGCATGCTAAAATTGTTGCAACTCAATTACTAAAATTATGACTCGCTGAAAGCTAATCACAATAAACTAGTATTAACCTTTTGAGCCTCATGTACCCTATGTTATATTTGTTGAGTACAACATGTATTTACCCTTGCTTTATACACTACTACACAAAATATTTTGCGAGACATTTTGAAATTGGCCTCGGAGGCGGGTAGGATTTTGAACCGCCTCGGATTAACTGAGGCGGTCGTTTTTTATTAACCGAGGCGGTTACAATCAACCGCCTCGCAAAATCAATTTACAGAGGCGGTTAAAAAATAACCGTCTATTAAAATATATTAACCGAAGCAAAAATACCCCTATTTTCGGAGGCGACTCTCCTAACTTGCCTGCCTTGGGAAAAAAAGGCCGAGCCCCAAACAGATCCAGACCGAGGCCCGATAGACACTCAAGTATAAATATCTAACCTAGGGTTTCACTCAAAGCTCACCCTCTCTTTCTCCCTCTCCCACTGACCGAGCAGCGTCGCGCCCGCTCCCCTCCCTCGCTACTTCTCTCAGCGCTGCGCACCTCCCCTCCCGTGCCGAGCGACAGCCCACTCCCTCCCTCTCCCGTGCCTCCTCTCCCTCACCAGGGCCCGAGCCCTAGCTCACAGCGGCGTCGCGTCTCCCTCCCTCTCCTGAGCCTCCCTCTCCCTCTCCCTCTCCCTCGCTAGAGCCCGAGCCAGAGCCCAGCGGCGGCGCCTGATCTCTCGAGCGCTGATCTGGAGGCGGCGGCACCCCCGAGCTCTTCCCCCGGCGCTCACGTCGCCATGTACAAGTCGTGCGCCGACGAGTGCACCAGTGCCGAGATGCTTGCCGGCGTCGACGCGGCCGTGGGCGACGGCTGTGACGTTCTCTCCATATCTCTCGGCGATACCTCGCCGGACACACCGTTCTACCACAGCCTCGCGATTGGCACGTATGGCGCCGTCGAGAAGGGTGTCTTCGTCAGCATCTCAGCTGGCAACAGCGGTCCAAATGCCAGCACGCTGTTCAACGACGCTCCGTGGATGCTCACCGTCGCGGCGAGCACCATGGACCGTTTGATCGGTTCCCAGGTGCGTCTCGGTAACGGCCTCTCGTTTGAACGGGGAGTCGGTGAACCAGCAAGAAATCTCGGCGGCCGTCTTCTACCCGCTGGTCTACGCGGGTGCCAGCTCGACAGCCGACGCCCAGTTCTGCGGCAACGGCTCGCTGGACGGCTTCGACGTCAAGGGCAAGATCGTGCTCTGTGACCGTGGCAACGGCGTCGCGAGGCTTGACAAAGGTGCCGAGGTGAAACGAGCCGGAGGCATCGGCATGATCATGGCCAACGAGTTCCCCGACGGTTACAGAACACTCGCCGACGCCCACGCCCTCCCGGCTTCGCATGTCAGCTACGCCGCCGGAGTCGCCATCAAGAAGTACATCAACTCCACGGCGAACCCGACGGCGCAGATCTTCTTTCGAGGCACGGTTCTCGGCACGTCGCCGGCACCGGCCATCACTTCCTTCTCCTCGCGCGGGCCGAGCCAGCGCAATCCCGGCATCTTGAAACCGGACATCACGGGCCCCGGCGTGAGCGTACTCGCGGCGTGGCCGTTCCAGGTCGGCCTGCATCGTCGTCGGCGAATCCCGGACCGACCTTCAACTTCGAATCTGGCACGTCCATGTCGGCACCGCACCTTGCCGGCGTCACGGCACTGATCAAGAGCAAGCACCCGTCCTGGTCACCGGCGGCGATCAAGTCAGCTATTGTGACAACAGCTGACCCCATCGACCGCTCCGGAAACCCGATAGCGAACGAGCAACATCTGCCGGCCGACCACGTCAATCCAGTCACGAGCCGGCCACGTCAATCCAGTCAAGGCCGTCGACCCCGGCCTGGTCTACGACATCGCCCCCGACGACTTCATGCGCTTTCTCTGCAGCGTCTACGCGAGTCGGGACGTGTCCGTCATCGCGCGGCGCGCTGTGGACTGCTCGGCCATTAGGGTGATCCCAGACGTCGAACTCTACGGCCAGTCCGGTGGCGGTGGTGCACCGGACGGTGAGGAACGTCGGCGAGGCGCCGGCTGTGTTCTACCCCTATGTGGACCTGCCGTCGAGCATGGTGCACGTCGAGCCGAGGTCGCTGCGGTTCATGGAGGCGAACCAGGAGCAGAGCTTCACAGTGTCCGTGCTGCGAGGGCAGAGTGGTAACACGAAGGTGGTTCAGGGCGCGCTCCGGTGGGTGTCCGACAAGCACACCGTGAGAAGCCCCATCTCCATCACATTTGAATGATCAGCACTCAGCAGAGTCGCAATTGGGTTCGATGCTCTTGGATGCTCTCCTGCCACTTCCACCTAATCCAAAGGTTGTTCGTTCTTCATGCAGATTTTATATCATTTTGTTTCTTTTTCAGTCAGTTCGTAAACGTATGTCCTTCTGTTTCTTTCTCGAATAGTATGTCCTTTTGTCAATTTAAATTGTACTGATATAATGGTGGTCCAGCACAGTGAGAGCTATCTTTGATATTTTAAATTGGCTTTATAAACATGTATTTGTTCGAATGTTCTGACGAGAGCCATATATATCTATCCAAGCCATGCTCCTACACGAATAGAAATTCTAAGATACAGATCACCAGTTCCTAATTAGGATACCTACTAATTTTAGATTAATCTCGAGTGTACCTTCGTTAGTTAGCAGATGAGGGGACCATTCGCCTTTAGCAATGAAGAGTAAATAGCGGTGGTAGCGGCCGCAATTGCAGTAGCGGTCCATTGCCGCTACCGCTGTGAGATAGCGCTCTAAACTTTGCATTCTAGAACTTTGCGGCCGCAATTCTAAATAGCGGGCCGATATTGCAGCCACAATTGCATGTAGGAGGCCGCAATAGCATGGAAATAAATAACCCTAATTAGTCCAGCCCACTATGACTTGCACCCCAAATTCAAATACTCACGCATCGGCTATGGAACTTAAAATTATTGATGATATATACACTTAAAATTATTTATACTCATTATTCATGATATATGTACTTAAAATTATATGAGATTATCGGGTGCCACTATTGTAACTTATCGTCCGCAATATCGCCCGCTATCCACAATCCGCTACCTCGACGCCAATCCGCTATACACTATTTATTACGTGACGTAGGCATTGGTGCAGGAGGTGATGTAGGTGAGATCCGTAGTAGTACAGTCGTTGCCAGCATCCTCCTGATGGACGGCATCGTCCTCTAGGCGGCGGTGGCAGTAGGGGTAGGTGTCGGAGTAGCAGAAGGAGTCGGTCAATGAAGGTGGCCTTCCCGTTACTCCAGCGTTCGGATAGATTGAATGTTGGTGCTGCTAAACCCTCACATTTGCGTTCGCTACCGAGAGGGGCTTAGGGAGCCTCTTTTTATAAGTGTTGTATAATTTGGGGGCGTAATTGGGTTTGTGACCCCTATTAGGTCGTGTACGTGGGTTTCTTCCCTATGGACTTGGTGTTTCGAGTATTGCCTGAGATTAATCCAGCAGTCATTGCATGGCATTGTCATACCAACCTAGGGCCTGTTTTCTTAGATCCTTTCTTGCCAGAACCACATTAGGCGTAGTGCCCTTGCAAATCTCACTACACCACAACACCAACATTAGCGATGGACGATCTGACGCTAAAAGCGGCTACAGCGACAGATGAACTGACGCTAAAAAGTTACAGCGACAGACTTGCGCAGACGCTGTAAGTCCTGTCGCTAAAAATCTTTAGCGTCAGATGGAACTTTAAGCATCAGATAGTCTGTTGTAGTGAATATTTATAGTGACAGATAGCCTATTGCCACTCTTTAGCGACAGATAATATGTTACCACACATTCACCGTCAGATCATCCAACACTCCGTACATTTACGGCGACAGACCGTTCAACAACATAATTTAATATAGAAAAAAATACAATTTTTAGCACAAATCAAAACGATATTCAATGCTCATATAGTGTCCACATATCACATGAAGATACACAAACACATATCACGTGCAGCTCAATACATATAACATCCAATTTGTCTTGTACATTACATCCATCAAAGTCAAGCACCAAATGAATTTGTCTTGTACATCAGTATGGAACAAGATGAAATACAGTAGAAATCAACGTATATATATATGTAAACTCACTCCTCTAGCTGCAACAATCACAGCTCAACTTTTTATTCACTCATCACTCTGTAGTCTGTCTGTAATAATAATTCACCCGTTTCCTTTCCTTTGCGCCGGCCGCAGCCCCAGCCATGGTCCTCATCCTTACCGGTAGCTGTGATATGTGGGGGGTGTACATGCAGCCCTTGCCCGAGGTGCTGATCAGCACCGTCGGCTTCAGCGACTGCAAGCAGACAACAAAAGCGTGTCAATTTCACCAAGAAAAGCAGCCCGCGCGTGATCCAAAACTTTGAGAAAGAAGAGGTAAGGTAATTAACACTGCTGCAGTATATAATGTAGATCAAACCATATAATCACAACTGACCTCGCCGGCACCGAGGAACAGGTAAGTGTGGTCTGCAAGCATCCCGCCGACCACCTTGAGCGCCGCCAGGAGGCCTGCCAGGACCACGGAGGCTGTTCTCTGCAACAATTACACCCGCATCGTTTTTGTTCATTCATCCACACAGTATAGAAAGAAAAGGACGAGTACAAAACAGGCAGCACCCCCTGTTTCTTAACTTGGCATCCATGGACCAATGGACCATGGTGCTGCTGTCAACACACAGAGCTGCATAAGCTACCTGGATATCGTCGTTGAAGACGAGATGGCTCTCCCTGTACTTCTCCAGCAGGTCAAAAGCGTTGTGGTTCGTGAAGTCTTCGAACTGCACGTCACAGGTCAACAAGAACATCGCATTTCAGATTTAGGAGTCGGCAGGCACATAGAGAAAGGCCGGCGGCAAAAAGGCGAAAACCAACATCAGCAAGTATGGTAGTGTCTGTGACTGGTCCACTGTGACCGACGACTGAGACTGACCTAGGTGAGGACCTTCTTGCCGTAGTTTTGCTTGACGGCGGTCATGAACTTTGCCCACTGTGACCGACTGAGACTGAGACTGACATAGGCAAACTGAAGCCAACGCTATCAAACTGCTATTACTGTCAGTATGCCTCAAGGGTCGTACAGCCTATGATGATTTTATTGGGTGAAAGCACATAAATAGAGGCAACACAATTTTCAGTAACTATGAAAATATTAACCAAGTGCTAACTTTGACCACTAAACAAGCTGCAGTTCAAGAGAGCAATCAAATAAATACTTGATTAAGTTACTGCAACCCCACAAGCATATTTGCCAAGCTATCTAAATAAAAAATCAAGACAAGAATGGAGTTAAAAATCTAGTGATCAAAAATCAAAAATAACCTGGGCTGCCGTTGTTGCACATGAGCCAAGCACCCACCTCTTAGGCAGAAATGAGGCCATTGCAAACAGAAGATAAAAGTTCATGTATGCAGAAAAAGGTGGAAAACATCTATTTGGACATTTTAGAAAAATGTAGGCAATGACTAGAGCAGTCACATAAAAATCAGCTCATGTTTTCAGTAGTTTCTGCACAAGTAGATGAAGTTGTCGATGCTGTAAGGTCCATGACGCATTGTGACACATAAGGCTTCAGTTGCAATCATTCACACATGACATCTGATTCATGAGAAAATGCAGGCAAAGATTGAAACTCAACTCAGCTTAGCCACATAACAGGTTATACCGTTATAGAAATTTTTGACACAACTATTTTGCGGGGTTGGCATTTGCAACGACTTTCTTATTATCATAGGTTTGCACTTTCAAGTTTTAACCTAAATTGGGCCACAACCCACAGGTGCTCCAAGCTCCAAATGCTGAATAATATCACAAGTAGCTATGACATCCAGATAATATCTTGATTAAACAGCATGACATTCTGAATACCCAGAAATTCACGCATAGCTATGACGTACAAATATAATATCTTGAATAAACAGCATGACATCCAGGTAGACCAAGTCCTTATGTAGCCGGGTCCTATTAATTCATAGTCTTGGCTACTGACCTAGTCTAACCTGATTGTGTGGTTCAGCAAAAGAAAGGCTTAGCTCTTGACGGCTAATAGTTCAACAGCTAAATTGCATGCCAAACAGCTGACTGAAACCTTTGCTAAAGAAATGTTTGTGTTGAACTCAGGCATTCGGTAACTACCCGACAGACATATGAACCTAATCAGCTTTACTGATCTTTCATACTTTTCTCCTCTCTAAATATAAACAATCCCTTGATTATCATTAGATATTTTTCACTTTCCTGTTAAAATCCGGGGAACAAAATAGAACCAAAAAAACTGACATTTGATATGCACAAGGGACAAATGAATAAGGCACAGCAAGCTACCATCGCAATCACCAACTGCTATCTGGTACATAGGAGAGACATGACATTCAAAGTGTTAATAAGAACCATTCGTTCATATAAACTTTTTTCACAGAGTATAAACTTTATTAGAACATAAATTGAGCGATGACATGTATGGTTATTGAGAGCTATGAAATCTACTAATATTCCTCTTGCTGGTTTCATCCCTTAAACATTTTTGTTTCACGTAAAACATAAGTGTTCATAAAATCAAAAGTTCTAGCTAGCACCAGCAGACTAATCATGCTCTTGCAATTTATCTCAAAAGTAGACTGAAGAACACACCTGAGTAGCAATGACAACAGTAAACTGGGAAAAGAACGATGGATTAGTGTCTATCAAATGAGCTGGAAACTCCTCAACAAACTTGGCTTTAACAGCGTCATTAAGCTCTTGTAGGAAAGAACATATAGATTTAGCTCTTGGTTGCCCCAAACATCCTTCATCCACTGCATGCAAATTTAAGGTCCCAGAATATGAGTTCATCAATTTCGTGGGGATGAATTCAGAAGAACAGGTGGAATCACAAAGCGAAGAAATTACACAGAAAAATTGTTCCCTAGATCAGATGCTTCAACTTTGGAGCCATCAACAACAGTCACACTTCCTATTCCTCCAAGCACGAGGTTCTTCAACGCTTCTGTTCCAGTAGGACCACAGTTAAGCAAGCATATGCTAGCCTTCTCCAGTGCAGCCTGACCTTGATCACCCCATATCCTGCGCTTTGCAGTTAACACGTAATAGGTGTCTTTCAATATCTGGGCATGCAATCCGATCAGGTAGACAGTAGAATAATCTGGA